GTCCAGGGGAGGATACCAGGCATCTGTAATTTTAACACGCTCCCTATAAGACCCTTAAGCACACTCGAGTTTAAGAACTACTGTTCTCTGTCTTTCTGGCAAGCGCATGCACCCTATAGCAAAAATCTCTCAAAAACAAAACAAAACAAAAACCACCAAACAAAACTACTGTTCTAGGTCATACATTTCAACATATTGATATAAATACTAAAAATGTGGGACAGAATAAATCATAAAAGTCATTTAGTGACCTACTAGAAGACATCTACAAAGTGCACGACCTGGTGGTTAGTTCCCTCCAGTCCGCCTGGCTCTACCTTTTACAGTCCAGAAAGCACCCAGCTTGTGCATCCATCTCTTTCACCTGGAAATACCAGTCTAGCTTCTGCTGGGTGATGTGTCTGTGTGGAAACTTGGAGATAAGAGTAATCTCCTTTGCCACCATGCGTCTGGCAACACAGTTGAAAACCTCGTTCCATCTGTCTGGAGGTGATCACAAATGATAGTGAATGGCTTAACCCTGTATATTCAAACCAGTGCTGAGCACACACTGCTCTGAATGGTCGGAGCTAGCTCTGGAGAGGAGGCAGCTAGATGGCTGCAGCCTGCCTGCATGTGTATTAAGAACCTATCAGTATGGTGCAACTACCCCCATGGCAGCCTTGGAGGCTGGGACAGATGGCTTTTATTGTTTCCCTAAGTCATCTAGCACCTCTGTGGCTCAAGAACCAACAAAGGCACCCCTTTGGAGCTAACAGAGCACAGGGAAGGGGGGATTTTTTGATCTGTATCCACCTGGATACAAATTCCTCCTCTGCCATTTGCTAGCTGTGTGACTGCTTAGCCACTCTATCCTCAGTTTACTTGTCTGTAAAATATGTCTAATGAGAACCTACCTCACGGATTAATTTCAGTTGTAAGGATAGCATAAGGTACTGAAAGGACCATCTACTTGGTACTCTCATTAACTTATAATTATTGTTATTATCTTAACTGAATGAGGTTCAAATCCAGTCAGACTTCCTTGCAGCATTAACTGTCCCATTTCTTCTGTGGTGCTTTCCAAACCAGATATTCTTCTGGTTTCTTAGAAAAACAGGTGTTACCAAAACAGACTTACACACACACGGGAGACTTCAAAAACTTCACAGAGAATTGAATGGACATACAAGTTTTCTTTGGTGCAAAATATATTTTGAAATCCATGCTTTTTTTTTTTTTCATGATATGGATGTTCCATGAATTTTTTGAAGACCTTATATATATATATATATATGTGTGTGTGTGTGTGTGTGTGTATAAATTAATAATAAATAACTCATTATTTAGTAACAATAAATAATAAATAACTTTAAATAATAATTGATATTTTTAATAATCAATCATTATATTATAATAATTTAATAACTAAACATAATTTAAGAATAATACAATATCATTATAATGTTGATAATGATAGTTATATTATATATGTGATATATATTATATTTAGGTCAACAGAGAAGTACAATTTCAGTTGTATTTTGATCCCCTACTGGGATCGGATTTCCTTCTGACAGTAGCCTGTGTTCCTTTTAGCTGTCTGGCTAAATAATAAATAATATAAATATCTATAAATAAATAAATAACTGCCCGAGGGCACGTGCACTCACCTGAGAGGAAGACAGCATGAGAGAGAGAGAGGACTGCCATCAGAAAATGGTCATGCTGAATCCCTTTTCCTCCATTTCCCTATCTCCTCAGGATTTGGGGTATGCATCTGCCATATCTCTCTAGCTGCTGAGTCTGGGATTTAAACCACCGTCGGCCATATGGGGTCCAGCTCCCTGTGCACAGTCCTTAACTACTGCACTAGATATATACGGCTCTACATATATTCTTTAAAGTAATATATAGAAATATACAAACGCACATATGCACACAGATACATATACACATACATGGACATGGACACACACTTTTCTTTTTTTTTTTAATTTTGCCTAAGGATGTGTATGCTTACCAGAGACAGTGAAAGCACACTTCGCCCATGGGGAAGTCACGCTGCAATTTCTTCTCCTTTATTTCTCCCTCCTTTGGAGGTTTTATGTATGCAAACGCACATACTTGGTGTGTTTCTCAAGTCACAGGTCTGGGACTCAAACTGTGCAGTTGGCTATGTGGGATCCTGCCACTTTAGCCAGCATATTAAGGACTGGTCCACACGTTTCAATCAAATACACACACACAGACTTTTCCATTAAAATATATATTCTTTGAGAAAGGAGGGAAGCTACTCTCTCACCACATCTGAACATACCCATACGCTCCCGTCCTTCTTCTAACAGTGAGAGGAAAGCTCTACTGCTTCCCAGTCTTCCCAGTCTGCATCATCTGTCCACCACCTGCAGACAGGGGTGTAGGAGCTTGTTCTGCAGCGTAGTCAGGTCTGCTGTCACATGTCTTTAACTTTTATCCCTTGTTTCATGTGATAAAATTAATCTTAGGCAAAGATCTCACTGATTTTCTCCTAATCTCCATCTTCCTTACATGCTCCCAGTGCCTGCTTTAAGACCTGTTTCAAAGCTGCTCCTGCTCAGTCTAACCACAAACCCAGCACTATTTTAGGCTTAAGGGAAATTACTAATACTGTCTAGCCTGTCCTGATCTACACTGTTCATTGCTCAGTACAAAACATTAAGTGACTTTAGTTTTCCTGGAAACCTGAGAAGCGCATCACCCTGTAGGCCTGATGCCTTGTTCACTCAGCAGATGTGGGTGAGGTCAGTACTGTTCCAAGTGTTCCCTGGTACACTCAGAGGGGCCCAGGCTACATGTGGACCAGGGTGAGAAGAACCCGAGCCAGACAGCTAAAAGGAACATAGGCTACTGTCAGAAGGAAATCCGATCCCAGTAGGGGGTCAAAATACAACTGAAATTGTACTTCTCTGTTGACCTAAAAATTTAGCTAGGAATTTATCTTAAGAAACTGATAATGGGAGCCGGCAGGTAGCATGGTGGTTAAGGCACTGAACTCCCACAAGGGTGACTGCAGTGCGAGTCCCAGACCCAGTGGCTTGAAAATCACAAAAGGCATGTGTGTGTGTGTGTGTGTGTGTGAATGTGTTTGTACCCAAAATCCCAAGAGGATAGTGAAGAAGGGACTGTGGTGTGGCCATCCCACATGGGGAGGTGATTTCTCACTTTCCTTTTCTTTGTCTAAGTCTCTCTGGAAAGCACACACGCCCTATGACAAAAACCTAAAAAAAAAAAAAAAAAAAAAAAAAGATCATGAACAGGAGCACATTTAAGTACAAAGATATTACTAGCAGCTTTACTTATAAAATAAGAGTATCTAAAACAACCCAAATGGTGCTAAATGCACCAAGGTGCAGCTATAAGATGGGATACTGCAACATCTTTAACTGCAGCGATGTTTTGTGGGCGAGGAAGGCTTGTTTCTGGGAGTTAGGATAAAGATGATTGTTACTTTTGAAATACAAGGGGATAAGAACAACCTTTCTTTTCCATGACTGAGAGAGAGAAATACGCGAGTCCAGAATCGGAGTCTCTCTTCTTCAAGACAAAGTAGTTGACTTGTGCTCTGTGTGTTCACTGTACCTCACAGAGACGAGTCATAATGGTAACGATAACAGTATCTCCACCAGCACCCAGTATTTACTGAGCACTTACTCTGCACCTGACATTTAAAGTGCTTTAGTCCTCACAACAATTAGGTGGACACTGTTATCCCTACTTTCCAGAAGAGGAGATCGAAGCCCTGAAATGTCAGATAACTGCCCCAGCCACACACAGCAGGGGGGCAGCAGGGACAGAATTCACATCCAGGGAACCTGGGTCCAGAGTGCATGCGTCTAGCTATTAGATTCCACTGCCTCTCTTAATGTGCATTTCTCACAAGACTGGTCTCATGCTGACTTAAGATTTTGTATTTAGTTGTCTATTTCCTTTACTCAACTTTGAGCTCCTTAAGGACAAGGTCCCATCTTACATTCCCAGACCCTGGTAGGCATCAGGTGAACGTTGGCTGTGTGCGCGAACCAGCCTTGGTATCTTAGTAAGTAAACAGTAACCAACAGTGGTAGCAGCAGCTCACAGCTGTTGATTCCTGCCACATTCCAGGCCTTCTGCCAGGTGCTGAAATGCACAATTTCATATAATTCTCACAACTTCCCTACGAAGTGGGCACTGTTCTCCCTGTTTTACAGATGAGCAAACTAAGGCTGACAGAAGTGACAAGCTAGTCCACATGGTGGCATAAGTATATTAACCTCTGCAGAGCCTAAAGCCTCGACTCCTTCACTAAGCTATATATATTCAACTCTCTTACGACGAAAACTGATACAAGAGTGACTATTTCAGGGTCCAGAACCTAATCACGGAAAGAATTCAGAAATCCTAGGAGAAAAAAAAAAAGATCAGATATAACTGTGATAATACTCTGCTATTTGGAACAAGGAGGGTATTAGGTATTAATTAGTCCCTAATTAATTCATTAATTAAAAATAAATGTCAGTATTAACTCCACGCCAGGTACTGTGAGAGGTGGAGGAAGAGGCTGTGCTGAATGAGGCCCCACCTCAGAGAGTCAGTTTCCAGCAGGGCATGTGACTCACACTAATAAGCATTTAATTACAAAGCAAGAAAAAAGAAAGGAAACTGGTTCTATGGGTGCTGCTAACAAAAGAGGGGCCAGAGAAGTCAGGCCTCTGCTGAGCTCTCATTGTGTAGCAGGAGGGAAGGAGGCTCAGCTGTTTGCCCACAGCAGGTCTAGAAAGAGAATCCTCCAGGGGCCCTGGCCTTTCACTCTCTGCAGTATTGCTTCCTGTCCTCTCAGAGTTATTCAGCTAAGGCACCTAGGAGGGACAATGAGACACAATCTTCCACGACACAAAGGCCAGCCCCATACAGAGAGAGGCCAGAGGTGTCCACCTCGACTGGTAGGAGGTGGCTTCTGGTGTCCCTGAACTCCACATGGGCTCTCAGCTGCAAAGACTCACGTTTCTCTGTTGACTGCACAGCGT